ACCCTTGGCATGCCAAAGATTCATCAGAGGAGCTTGTTAAAGGCAAATTCCTAGGCCCTAACCTCCCCCACCTCCCACCCCAATTCGCATTCAGTAGGTTTGGCGTGGAACCCAGACATACATAATTTATTTTATTTTACTTTATTAATTTTTTGAGACAGTCTCGCTCTGTTGCCTGGGCTAGAGTGCTATGGCATCAGCCTAGCTCACAGCAACCTCAAACTCCTGGGCTCAAGCGATCCTCCTGCCTCAGCCTCCCGAGTAGCTGGGACTACAGGCATGCGCCACCATGCTCGGCTAATTTTTTCTATATATTTTTAGTTGGCCAATTAATTTCTTTCTATTTTTAGTAGAGATGGGGTCTCGATTTTGCTCAGGCTGGTTTCGAACTCCTGACCTCTAGCAATCCACCCGCCTCGGCCTCCCAGAGTGCTAGGATTACAGGCGTGAGCCACCATGCCCAGCTGACACATATTTTAAATATTGTGCCTCCTCCAAGTGACTTTAAAGCAGACCTCCCAGCGATCACATTTTGTGAGATTCTGGCCTGGGTCTATGTTGACTTTGTAAGCCTCAACCTCCCAGCTTAGATCACTGTTATTATTAATCTGCCACTCGTTTGTGCAGAGTTGGGAACTGAAGCATTTATTTCCGAATGGCCTCACCATCTGAAGAAAATAAACAGTGAACACATATATTCACACGATGCCTATATCCCAAACTACTTTGCAGACAAAATTCCCTCTGCAACTTTCTTGGAAACAAGGAAAGACACAGTCAGCCCTCAGTTTCCAGGGGAGATTTATTCCAGGACCCCCCCAAAATGCCAAAATCCAAGAATGCTCATGTTCCCCATATTAAATGGCATCGTGTTTGCATAGGACCTACCCACATCCTCCCGTACATTTTAAATCATCTCTGGATTACTTACTAGACCTCATGCAATACAAATACTATGTAAATCATGATTATAGTCTATTGTTTACTGAATAATGACAAGAAAAAAAGGTCTGTATATATGTTCAGGACAAACACATTTTTTTTTCCTGAGTATTTTTAAACCCGAGGTTGGTTGAATCACCTGTGTAGAACCCACAGTCACGGAGGGCCAACTGCATTTTAATGTCCTAGTCTATAAATAGATGTGTGAAAGCAGGCACAGGCAGCGATATAAATTATCTAAAACACAGGAAGGTGGCATGAGCTCTGGCTCTCGGCCCAACTTTCTAAGTGCCAGAATTGGGCCAGCCCACCAGCTCTGCAAGGCCTTAACTCCCTGGAAGCAAGGCTGTCAAAACCACTCAGTGAGAGGCATGCACGGGTCATGTTTATGGGCTTGTTAGCCCAAGCTATTAAAATGTGTTCCCAGCAATCATTATGAGGTCAAATCTGGTGTGTTTTGCACTCCATCAACCTGAAATCATTATATCCCAGTGTCGCCCTGCAATGAGGACCACAGTGACCCGTGACCCTCCACAGGTCTAAGGGGAGATACCTACTCAAAGCTGAGGAGGATCATTCTCCGTTCTGTGTGGTTATACCATGAGGACAACTTGGCAGAATCTTTCCTCATTGAAAATTGGTAACATATATATAGTAATGATGGATTATTAAATAGCATGTTTATTTTATAGACCCAAGCCTGCCATTTCCCGATCATGACAACAAGTGGGCTACTTGCCCTCTTTGCCGTCACATGACCTTGTCCATTTCTCCAGGGCTCTCGATGGGGCGGGATATGGGTATAATGAACACTTGTGCTGAGTTTGGGACAAAGAGGGTTCTGTTCACAAGGATGGGCCCTTTCTTTGTTTGATCTGGACCTATTATTGCCTTCGTAGAATACGCACTATCCAGACTTGCCTCATTTCTACTCTAACGCTTTCTAAAATATTCACTGGCTTGGCCGCTCAATCTTAGTGCTCAACCTTTATAATTTCTTTCACGTCTTACCTCGATGTTGAGTCAGTGAGCAACCTAGGGAGAGTGGGGATTTGATTTGAAGCCTCCTGATTCTTTCTACCATAATGTTCCACATGTAAAAGTCACCTTACCCCAGAAGAACTGGACATTTTTAATAATATTACGACACAGGCAGGATGATGGCTAAGTGTTCTCGGAGTCTGGTTTCCGTGTTGGCACCCCAGTTCTAGCAACTGTGCTTTCACCCACAAACTACAGGAAGAGTAAGCCAAACCTGTAAACATAGCAAGTATATCTGTCTTGTCTCATCTCATGACAAGAAATCCAGAGGGAGGTTGGCTCCAGGTAGCTAATTAATTAATGCCATCATCAGTGGTCCATGTTCTTTCCATCTTTCTACCCAACTCCAGTCACTGCATCCAGACACAAAGTCCAACAAAAGAAAAGCTGATTAAAAGCTGATTAACATCTTTGAATCTAGTTTTCTTTTCTTTTTTTTTTTTTTTTTGAAACAGAGTCTCACTCTATTGCCCAGGCTAAAAGTGCCATGGCGTCAGCCTAGCTCACAGCAACCTTAAACTCCTGGGCTCAAGCCATCCTTCTGCCTCAGCCTCCCAAGTAGCTGGGACTACAGGTATGTGCCACCATGCCCGGCTAATTTTTTTTATGTATTTTTAGTTGGCCAATTAATTTCTTTCTATTTATAGTAGAGACGGGGTCTCGCTCTTGCTCAGGCTGGTTTCAAACTCCTGACCTTGAGCGATTCGCCCGCCTCGGCCTCCCAGAGTGCTAGGATTATAGGCGTGAGCCTGGCCAGAGCCCAGTTTCTTTATCTGTAAAATAGTTTTATCATCTGTGAGTACTTCACAGAACTGTTGTAAGAATTAAAGGAGCCTTAGGAAAAACACATGGCCCAGAGTAGATCCAGTGTTTGTGAAGTATGGGAAGGTGGGGTGAGATCTGACCAGGCCTTCCTACAGGGATATCTTTTAAGTGAGGAAGGGCGTGAGCCCTGGAATTCTCCAACCTGGATGTCAAATGTGACACCACCACTTGTCAGCTGAGTGACTTTGGTTAAACAGGTTTCTAGACCTGTTTCCTCATCTGTTGCAGGAAGATAATAATAGCACATAACTTAAAGGGTTTGGGGGAAGTTAAACAAAATGATGCATACACGACGCACTCGGCCTGGTACGTGGGGACCATTCAACGAACATGAACAATTATTTTTACAGTAAGCAGGAGAGCAAAGAAGGCCATAGCTTGGTGATGTCAGCTGAATTTACTGGGCCCTAAAGATGCACTTGGAGGCTGGGTGCAGTGGCTCACGCCTGTAATTCCAACACTTTGGGAGTCCCAGGCAGGAGGATGGTTTGAAGCCAGGAGTTTGAGATCAGCCTGGGCAACATAAGGAGACCCCATCCCTACAAAAAAATTTCAAAATTAGCTGGGCATGGTGGCACAAGCCTGTAGCACCAGCCACTATGGAGGCTGAGGCAGGAGGATTGCCTGAGCCCAGGAGTTCGAGGCTGCAGTGAGCTATACTCACGCCATTGCGCTCCAGCCTGGGTGACAGAGCCAGAACCTCTCTCTAGAGGAGGGGGAAAAAACCACTTGTAAAGACTGTCTCCCTTGCATACCAAAGTGAAGGCTTCTAACCCAGGCAGGTGGTGAGCTTGCATATAGTCCCAATTACTCAGGAGGCTGAGATGCGGTGTGGGGAAGAGGATCTCTAGAGCCCAGGAGTTTGAGACCCCAGGCTCAAAGTCGTAGATAAGGTAGGTAGGTGAGACCTGAGCATTAGCATGCCTTCCAGCCTTCAATCCCCGGAGGGGAGGTTAAGCCTGTGTTATGGGGATGCACTGGGAGGCCACCTGCCCCAGGCCAGGCGGGGCAGGGCGGGGCTGGGCGGCTAGGCAGGCGGTGCCCTTGGGCATCACGGGTGGCAGTGTGCTCCCGGCCACCAGTCGAGAGGGAGAGGCAGGCGTGGCCTTCCCGCTCCAGACCGGACTTCCGTGCAGGGCCACTCTGAAGGCCCACGTGCACCCGGGGAAAGGGTCTCGGCGACGCACCAGACAGCCCCTCGGCCACCTCCTCCCCGTCCCCCTGCAGAGCTGCAAACAGCACACGGAGTTTTAGAAGCTGGTTTCCAACCAAAATCCTGCGTGGAAAAGCCTCCGCTGCGACTGTGGGCGCTGTCGCCTGCTCCTTGCACTCAGAACCGATTCTCGAATGTGCTTTTATTTTAATTGACTCCGTGGTCAGCCCTTGGTGCTGGGGACACCAGGGAGAGGCTTAAGGGAAGAGTTAAATGGCTTTAAGGATGGGAAGTCAGGCTGATTTTGTTTGTGATTCACAGTGTGTGTGTGATTCACAGCGAAGTGCATGTTTTGCTCCCTGGGAACAAGATGATTTGAGGCTTCTGCCTGATGTCGAGCTATCGCCTTCTGGCACCTCTGAAAAGCAGTTATTTCAGAGGCAAAGGGTACGGGCTGCCTGAACACAAACACAAATCATTTGAAGAAGGCAGAGCGCTGCCGTCCTAAAGACGTGGGGTCCCACAAAACCAGGTGTGTGGCTACAGTTTTATGACCAGAACACTGACAGTGGAGTCCAAAGTCCTGGGTTCGAATCCCCTCTCTGCCATTTACTAGAATTAGTTACTCAGCTCATTGGACTTGCAATCATTGTGAGTACCAGATGGCCAAGCAACACCCTTCCTCAAGGTATAATAAGAGGATTACTTATTTCTAGATGGCCAGCCATTTAGAAACTGAGGCAAAAAAAAAAAAAATCACCCATACTGATATCTTGTCTTTGTTTAAAATTTTGGTAATTTTCTCATCACTGATTTTATTTTTGTATTACTTTCAATTATTTATGCAAATGTGCCAAGAACCCGGTAAACTTTCCATTATGTTTGCCAAAACGAATGCATAGAGACTTTGGGGCTGAAGTTGGGGGCTGGGCTATTCACACTCTGGATCCTTTGACACTAGTTCATTTAGTACCCAAAACAACTTTGAGTTAAGTGGTCATTTCTCCATCTTTCCCCAAGGCTACATAATGAAGCTTGGGGAAAAGATACTTCCTGGAGAGAGAAGTGAAATGGCAGAGAAGAATGATTAGCAGTATAAGGTAGTCACTGAAATTCTTTCACATGTCAGTTTCCTTTTTGGAAAATGAAATACTATTATGAGGGCTTGATTTTTAAAAATCCAATATTCTGGCCGGGCGCGGTGGCTCACGCCTGTAATCCTAGCACTCTGGGAGGCCGAGGCGGGCGGATCGCTCAAGGTCAGGAGTTCAAAACCAGCCTGAGCGAGACCCCGTCTCTACCATAAAAATAGAAAGAAATTAATTGGCCAACTAATATATATAATATAAAAATCAGCCAGGCATGGTGGCTCGTGCCTGTAGTCCCAGCTACTCGGGAGGCTGAGGCAGGAGGATCGCTTGAGCCCAGGAGTTTGAGGTTGCTGTGAGCTAGGCTGATGCCACGGCACTCACTCTAGCCTGGGCAACAAAGCGAGACTCTGTCTCAAAAAAAAAAAAAAAAAAAAAATCCAATATTCTTTCTAACCTTGGAAAAAAAAGTATTTAGAGTCTAGTAGTTTAAAAAATAACTCCTTGATATGTAGCATCTTATAAATGAGCTGTCTGCAGAACAGAATTGGTCTTGGAGAAAAAATAAAGTAGAATGGATGATGCACTTGCTTGTTTCTGAGAGTTTTAATTGAATTCGGCGACTGGGTTGGTAAGGACCAGTTTAAAACAGCTTCCACTTCAATTCCTCAGGGCACCTCCTCCTGCCATTCTTGTCCCTGCATTCTCTATTCCTCCCCTCTTGGAAAAAGGAACAAATTACTGAGTCCTTGCTATGTGCCAAGTCCTATCTTAGGGGTTTCCCATGTGTTACCTAATTTCATGCTAAAACAGTGCTGTGAAGTAGACAATTTTTTTTTTTTTTAAACAGACTGTCACTCTGCAGCCCTGGGTAGAGTGCAGTGGCATCAGCCTAGCTCCCTGCAACCTCCAACTCCTGGGCTCAAGCAATCCTCCTGCCTCAGCCTCCCAAGTAGCTGGGACTGCAGGTGTGCACCACCACACCCAGCTAATTTTTCTATTTTTAGTAGAGATGGAGTCTCACTCTTGCTCAGGCTGATCTGGAACTCCTGAGCTCAAGCGATGCTTCTGCTTCAGCCTCCCAGAGTGCTAGGATTACAGGCATGAGCCACCACGCCCAGCCAAGCAGACATTCTTATTGTCATTTGAAGGATAAAGACACAGCCCAGGTTCACCCAAAATCTAATGGCTGTCCAGGACTTAGCCAGGACTCCTGACCTTTCTCCAACCCCTCACCCTAATCACCAACTTAAATTCTGACTGCTGTTCTGCCATAGCCGATAATCAGATTAGCAGATAACAGGCATCTTGCAAAATGTTGTGACACGCAGATGCTCATTACCTTATTGATCTTCATTTATTTTGTTTGAAAGGCAAGAGGTTCCATGTTTTATATGAAAGGCAACATGAATCCCCTATGTTCCAAAGGAGAGAACAGAAGTATCTTGAGATGAGCCCTCTCTGTCATTATAAGTTCCAAATCCCAGCTCCAAATACAGGTCCAAATCCCACAAGAACCCTGTTATTCACCCAGAAGACTCCACAACCTGGAGGGGTCCCCGTTTCTTTGGAGCTGCTTCCCCTGAACAAGATGAAATGCTCCGGTTCTGCCACAGACAGCAAATATCAAGGGACCAGATAAACACCCAATGCTCGGTGATCAATTTCAGGAACAAGAATCGTGTGTTTGCAGTTCAGAGGGCAGATCTGACAGGAGCTCTGTGCGCATGCGTGTGTGGTGGGGGGGTAGGGGGGTGAGAAGGGAACGAAACATGTGAGAAAAGAGCATGAGTGGGTAGGTGGAAGAATGATACCATCTCTTCTCTTTCACTTTGGCCTGGGATAAAAAAACAGGAGCATCATCACTTCTGTTTGCCTCGGTGCAAGATGCGAAGACATTAACGACAGCTCCTGCGTAGGGTGGGAGAACACAGCAAGGGGAACAGCTACGTGGCCCCTCCAGAGTGGAAAATGTGAGCGAGACTGCAATTTGCCTGCCTTAAACGTCCGTTCTCCCTTGCCTCCTTCTTATCAGACCCACAGCTTTTAGCTGAGCACGTTGCTGCTTAAACACCAGAAATTTATTTTCTCATAATTCTGGAGTCTACTGGCACAAGATCAAGGTGTCAGCAGCATCGATTTCTCTTAAGGTCCCTCTCCTTGGCTTGGCAACAGCCATCTGCTCCCTGTGTCCTCACACGATCATCCTGGTGCCTCTCTTTGGTGGCCAAATTTCTTATTCCTACAAGGACACTGGTCACCTTGGATTAGGGCCAACCCTAACCGGCCTCATTTTATGCCTCTTATACAACTATCAAACCAAGCCGAACATACACAGTAAGATCAACCCAAAATATAAAACCAATAATATTTCAATGAACAGTATTCATTTAATATGATCAATCATGCTTTGCTAAATTAACTCACACCTGTTGTAAAATAAGACCCTGTAGCTTCAGGTCCAGGTTTTTATTTAAACTTGTCTATATTTTGACTTCCATAATAATGAGACAGAGCGCCTCTATTTATGTAATGTGTTGTACGCAATGGCATTAACAATTTCAAGACTTTGTTTGCTACTTCGAGATAATCCAACACCTTTGCTTAACCCAGACTCTGCCAGTGGGCAGTCTTCAACGTTAATTTAAAGTGGTGTCATTTGATTCCTGTGAGTCATCCTTGTTCCCTAGGACTTGAAGTTAACATTGCAGTTTTATTGAAATATGCACTAAATAGGTTTCTAATCCAATTATTACTGGAATCGGTTACAGAAAATGTCTCCATGGCACATTTACTACTGCACTTACAGGTAATGAACTGCTGCCAAGCTCGAGTGCTCAGAGACGGGCTCTACACAGAATATCTGATTGTTCTGCAAATATAAGACTGATGCCCTGACCCAGGGCTTTCTGACAGCGTGTGTCCGTTCCACCTTAGGACAAGTAGTAGCTTCAGCCACGTCCCCCCAGCCCCACTCCACTTTTCCTATTTGAACAGCTGGAAAACTGTCGGTTGTAGCCCATGCTGTGACAGTATTTGAGACAGTGTGCTGTAAACAGCTGAGGTTGTGGTCCTGGAGTCACAATGCCCGAGTTCGAATCCTGGCTTCACATTTTACAAGCCCTGTGATCTTTAGCAGGTTACTAAGTTAACCTCCCTGTGCCGAATCCCGCTGCTGTCGAGGATGTGTGGCAAAGATTCAAACACGGACACGTCCGATCATTCAACTGAAGCAGCAGCACCTTCCTGAAGCTGTCCCCTGCACACCCACCCTACACTGGCTACAGTTCATCGCTCTCGTCCAAGGCAAGTGTGCCCTGTGCGGTCTTCTATGGCTGGACATGTAAACGCTAGTCACACTCGTATGTTGGTCTCCACCAGTTAGACCACGGTTTCCTTCCATCAGAGAGGGATTCTGACCAGTCTTTATATCCCAGTGCCTGGCACGATGTCCAGCCCATAGTTTCCAGCAGTCAACTGTGAAAGAAAGACAGAGAGAGATGGGAGGAGGGAGGGAGGGAGGGAGGAAGAAGGGAAGGAGGGAAAGAAGGAGGAAGGAAGGAAGAAAGGAAGGGAAGGAGGGAAGCAGGAAGGGAGGAAGGGAGGAAGAAAGGGAGGGAGGGAAGAAGGATGGGAGGGAGGGACAGAAGGAGGAAGGAAGGAAGGGAAGAAGGGAGGGAGGGAAGCATGGAAGGAAGGAGGGGTGGAGGGAGGGAGGAAAGAAGAACGGGAGGGTGGGAGGGAGGGTAGGAGAGAAGGAAGAAGGAAGGGAGGGAGGGAGGAAAAAAGGAGGGAGGGGAGGGAGGGAGGAAAGAAGAACGGGAGGGTGGGAGGGAGGGTAGGAGAGAAGGAAGAAGGAAGGGAGGGAGGGAGGAAAAAAGGAGGGAGGGAAGGAAGGAGGGAAGGAGGGAGGAAGGAAGGAAGGACAGACGTACAGGCAGACGTAGGGAGGGAGGGAGGGAGAGGAACTCCACTACCCCAGCCTTTCCAGGGAGATTTATATTTTTAAGAGACTTCAAATCTTATAAATAAAGCCCTGCCCGTGGACCAGTAGGCTTCCTCTGTCAGGAAGGGATGCTTGGGGTGAAGTAGGAGCAACAGGGTGATGTGCTAGAACCTGGTCACACTGTCCCCCAAGAGCCAATTATGCAGGACTCTTCCCAACCCCACATCTGGAGTCAGAGCTGGGAAGCCTGGAATGGGCAGTGGCAAGGGACCACAGAAACGTTCCCGGGAGCCGGCTGTTCAAGCCTCCCAGCACACCATGGGCAACACGGCTCCTGCGTGCCTCTGACAGCAGTGGAGTGTCCCGTCCTGAGTGGTAGAAGACCATTCAGCTCAGGGGATCTGAAGGGACAGGCACCAGCAACCATCTGCCCATGGCGGAGGCTGCCCCTGGGCGGGCACCAGCACCCCGTCCCCCTGCCCCGTGCATCTGCGACATCCAGTCCTGGCCACGGTCACATCTCTGAGACCACACCTTCATCATCCTCATCCAAGTCATCCCAGAAACATCCACGGAGATGTTTGTCTTGCTATTGCCGATTGTTTCTTATGTATTACAATAAAAGTCAACTAATAATACAATTGATGATGTTAATGACTTACTAGTCCTAAAGCCAGACAACAGAATGAACTATGTGCTTAATATTTTTATGAGAGACTGTGCACGTGACCTTGCAGCTTGGTGCCAGTTACATTTCTATTGACATAGAGACCAGGGACAATCAGGACATTTATCTCACTTAGTCACTAGTCACTGCGGCCCCCAACTTACCCCTCCCTCTTCCCAAAAGAAATGAAAAAACGTTTTCATTATAAACTGATATCTGTTGGTGAAAGCAGCTATTTTTTTTTAAAGTGATGTCATAGAGCCTAGAATGCTACATTGTTCTGGTTTCAGAAAACACTCAGAGGACTCTTTAGTCATTGCTGGTGGCTACATGTTAAGGGAACACTAAATAACCTCCCTTCCCCCACCTCTCATCCTCTCTAGTCACTTCCAGAACTGTCATCGGACACCTAGGGAAACTTCCGTACATTTATATTTTTTCATACCCTCCAAATAATATATGTTTTCATATAGCATACACACATATAACTATCACATTTGTCCATTAAAGGACTTCAGATTACCATTTTTTTTTTAACTTCACCTCAGAAGACTATTCCTGTTATATAAGATTTTTTTTTTTTTTTTTTTTTGAGACAGAGTCTGACTTTGTTGCCCAGGCTAGAGTGAGTGCTGTGGCAACAGCCTAGCTCACAGCAACCTCAGACTCCTGGGCTCAAGCGATCCTCCTGCCTCAGCCACCTGAGCAGCTGGGACTACAGGCATGTGCCACCATGCCTGGCTAATTTTTTCTATATATATTAGCTGGCCAATTAATTTCTTTCTATTTATAGTAGAGACAGGGTCTCGCTGTTGCTCAGGCTGGTTTCGAACTCCTGACCTCAAGCAATCCACCCGCCTCGGCCTCCCAAAGAGCTAGGATTACAGGCGTGAGCCACCTCGCCCAGCCATATATAAGAATTTATTTGTATATTTAAGTAACGTTTCCTTGTTCTACAAACCCTGAATAAATCCCAAGCACTGAATTATTTTCTAGGGGATACCCGTAGGAATAGAAAATGTGATTTTTTAAAATTTTTTACATAAAAGAAATAAGAAGAAAAAACCCTGCCCACTGAAAAAAGAAACGTCAATCACGTAGCAACAAATATTTATCATCTCCCTGTATTGCATTGGAAAATTGCCTTTGGAGAATCTGTTTTCTAACTATACTCTTTCAAACAATGTGTAGAATAATTCGGGCTTTTGCAAGAATGATATTTTGTATGAGAATCATAAATAAACCTGGAGTTTGATCTTAGCTGGGAAAATAATTTCAGTATCTCAAATGCCTGTGACCCAAACACCTTGTCTAACATGCAGGGCCTCTGTGTTTGTGTGACCCCGGTGAGGTGCATATTATAGGCATGAACTGCTGCTAAATTGAATTAGTGTGCCTGCGACAGGGACTGGAGGGGCATCCCGGAAAACTCACAAGCAATCAATTAACCTTGCCTGAATCCTCTTTAATGTGCTTCAGGTTCAATTTACCACCATACTTTCCTCCCACTGCGCACACACTCACACACACACAAACGCACCCACACACACACGGGTGCACACATACACATACAAATGCACTCACACATGCACATGCACTCTCCACTCCCTTTCTTCCCAAACCTTTTACCACCTACCTTCAGGCATTCCCACTCCACTGTGATCGCATTTTCCTACATTTGCCTTTTTAGCCTCTTGCTTGAGTGGATCCTCAGCCCTTGGCTTTGAGTGAAACCCAGCTGTCTCCTGAACCTCAGATGCAGCCACTCAACCTGCTGCACCATGAAGACTTGGGATCTGGAGAGGGGCTGGGGCCCTGCTCACAAATCTGTGTTGCTCTCAAGTCGTTATGCCCTAGCTTGTGTGCAAAGACGCATGCCATCTGCCTCCGTTGGTCAAGGTCATCTACTCACGTCCTTGTCCCTCCTGCTCATTGGAGACCACTCCCGTGACTCAGTCTTTTCCTAATTTGCGTTGAGTTCCGCTTTGCTTTGGGTAACTTCACAGTATATTCCAGCAAGCTGGCCAACGCCTCAGTTTCTTGGAGTTGTCATCTCCCACGTCCTCTCTCCCTAGCCACTTCTGAAACCCACACCTGTCCAACCTCTCATCCTACTGTCCACTCTCATTCTCCTACGTGTCAGTGCCTGTGCTGTATCTATTGCAGCAAACCTGATTAGCCCAAACCCTAACAGCTTAAAACAGCAACAACTCATGAACTCACAGTTTCTGCAAGTCAGGAACCCAGGAGCAGCTGAGCCAGTTGGTTCTGGTTCAAGGTCTCCCCGGGGTTGCAGCCAGGATGGCCGCAGGAGCTGGAGGGAGCCACTTCCTCAGTAGCTCACTTACACCCTTGGCGAGGGAGTGCTGGCCGCTGGCAGGACGGCCTGGTCTGTCACCACGTGGACCTCTCCATAGGGATTCCTGAGTGTCTTCAAGACATGGCAACTAAGTCCCCCCGGAGCAGGAGATCTGATTGAGAGCACGCTGAAGCCAGACTGCCTTTTACAACCTAGTGACTTCTGCGTGCTGTCGGCGTTAGGATAGAAGCACTGAGTTCAGCGCACGCTCAAGGACAGTGGAATTAGGCTCCACTTTTGGAAGGGAGTGACAAAGAATTTGTGGACACACTTAAAGCCACCACAGAGCCGTTCTTTGTTCTTCCCATTACACCTATTCTTTGATTCACTGAGAGTTTCGAATCCTCAAATTTTCTAATTTATCTCTCTGGGGCCCTTTCTGTTTTTACGTCCTCCTGCACACAGTCTAGACCCTATCTGGCCCACGCGTTCAACTGCTCTCTTGCCAATATCCTTACTCTTTCATCTTCCTTTTATGGCTCCTAGGAGATGGGGGGAAGCTTCGGTGCCAAACAGTTCCCCACCCAGCCTCTGTCACCAGACAGTGAGCCCCGATCGAAACGATCACCCACATGTGCAAGCAGGCGTCACTGTGTGGCCTCGGTGTTCAGCAGGCGCTCAGCGCTGCATAGTAAGTAGCCTTCTGTTTCCAAGTTGCCAGTCCCCACGGCGCCCATCTCAAGCATTGCCTGGTGTACCCCAGCCACCGTCCATGCCACAATCGCGTTCAGCCTCGGTTCCTCAGTTCCCGGACCCCGGACAGTGCCCCCCATCCTGCTCGGCCTCCATTTCAAACCTCCACACACAATCCTGCGTTTGCTCCTCCCTTTAAAGAGGCGGAGAAACGCCTGATCTGAGACCCAGCCCTCCGGGCAGCAGGTACTCGAGGGACACGTGTTAAGAAGAGAAGAAACGATGAACCTGAACTCCGGGTCCTGTCACTTCCCCGTCCTTCCACTCCCCATCTCAGAGACCTCACCGCCTCTCTCCTCCTCCAGCCTCCCTGTGCGGACTCCACACCCCATGTAGAAGTGCTGCTCAAGCCTCTTCCATCTCCTTTGATCCACATCCTCTTTGGGTTGATGCGCTGTTTCCTCTTCGTACTTGATATTTTCAAAAGAGGGACAGGGAGGTCCCCACCTGCTCTCTCCCCTCCTTGCTTCCTTCCTTTCTGGAAGCCACTCGTCACTACACTTAAATG